CCGTCCGAACTTCGGATCCTAGCGACCCCGGATCTGGTGCACTGGCACTCTAATGACACTTATGAGCCGACATGAGGGCTCCTAGGGGCGTATTAAGGCCCACTGGGTGGTCAAGCCAAGCTCGGCCTTTTTAGTCCACAGGGCTAAGCAGCCCTAGCTGGTCGTAGGCAGCTCCACCACACAAGGGCCGCTGGTGCCTGCCCTGTGCTCAACAAGTCGACAGGCAGGGAGGTCCCTATTGGGATCAGTCCCAAACCTGGCCCTGAGGTAGCCACTGCTCACAACAGGCCACCAGCCAATTGCCAAGACCAACCCAGCCCCAGGAATCCTTCAAGGTCAACTCCAAATCAAGGGAAGCAGCAGAGGTATCCCTCCCCCAATTGCTCAGCACAGGGAACAACAACAGAATCCCTGCACAGAGGTTCCCCCAACACTCCAATTCCAGCACCCAGCAGCACAACAGCACACCAGAACAGCAAAGAGAAGTGGGAAAACAGCACTCCCACTCCTCACTTTGGTGCAATTGTGCAGGGAACACAGCAGCAGTTCCCCCCAGAAACCACAATTCTGGAACTTCCCACGTGCAACCAGACACAGCAGTGGTACTGGGGCAATTCAGAGCTTCCCCAGCACCTGTCTGGCACTCTGGAGGCCTGCGATTCCTTCACACAACACCACTTGCACTCGCAGGTTCACTCTCCAGTACGCCCAATTCCAACTACTGCCACCCAGTACACGCGCACACACTTGCACAGGCCGGCGCCCCCTCTTGGCATACGGCGATTGCCAATCGCACCGCCCAATCCTGCCACTCGCACTGCGTCACACTGCAGCACGCGATGGGAATGCGCAGCAGGCCCGTGTTGTGCTGCGCCCAAATGCGCGTCCCGTTATCGTAGGTTCTTGACATGCCACGTCACACCGCTGGTCATTCCCTTCACCGCCAGCGCCTCACGTCACTCCGCCGGCGCGCAATGGCAGTACACGCCCCGGGCGGAGCATCCGACTCCGCCATGCCGCCCGCCTTGGGACAACCCGATGCGACCGGTGCGGCTGTGGGCCCAGCTTCCCCCAGCTCCTTGCCCGCGCGCTCGCGGCCACCCGGGCACGCGCCGCCTTCGCCAAGCCACGCGCCCGCGGCGGAACGTCGCGGCCGCCTCGCCGCTCCTTGCCCGAGCGGCTGGCCCGCGATCCACCTCAATGCTCGGCGATTGGGAGGGAATGGAGGGGGGGGGGGTTGGGCGATGGCAATGGCGATGGCGAGCAATGCGCGCCCGCCGCCGCCGCCGATCAGGCGAGAGGAAAGGGAGGGAGGGGGGCGTCGCGGAAGCCCCAACATCTGCCCGCTCCGAAACCAACTGTTGCGCACCCTATTGGGTACGCCCCAGGACCTGCCCACGAGGGGCACGCGGAGAGCGAGCGGGGAACTCGAAAAGAATATTACAATTGGAAGCGTGAACCACAGTTATAATCAGGTGTTCATTTACTACAAACAGCAGCTAATCAAATTATAGACACACTACTCCCCTAGTGTATCTAGTAAACCCAAATCTCACCCCACTATCGCAGTACAACAAAATGAAGTGAAATCTCCAGTAAGACTGGATCCACCAGAATTCACAACATTCTGCCATTTATAACCCCGTTCCAATCTGGACAGCTCACAACCGCATACAGATAGATCGCCAGAGTGTTCAGATCGCACGTCCCAGTCGACACCGTGTCCATACCATGCTGGCGACACCCATTAGGATAAACCCCCGAGAACTTACCCAGAACTCACTAACCAGTCCCCTCACTTCTTTCTGTCCCAATCCTCCCGCACCTATTCCTCTAAGCCGGCCTACCTGGACCCGTCCGCCCGCCGGCGTTCCTGAGGTCCCTACCCGCTAGCTCCCTCACACTCCTGTACTCCCGCACTGCTACCCGCTCCTCTCCTAACCTCCCAACCTGTCTCCCACCCCTTACTTCACTACCGCCACTTCTCCCCAAATGATACCCGTCACCACTCAACCCGTACTCTGCACATGTGGTAAAAAGATTCCGGGTATCAAAAGAGCATCTCTTTGGAATGGGGGTATTTTTGCCAAAGGGGCGCGGACAACGCGGAGGGGAACTCTCTATTGTTGCACTCAGCCTGGCAGCTGTAAGAATAGTTGCGTGGGGTTTGTGTGTCCTTCGCACGGCGGACTAGGTGCTCAGTCTGGCTGCCTGGCCCCCCTGACCGTGCGCGCAACGTTGGCCACGGCCTGAGCGCAATAGCGCTCGACCTTTTTTAAGGTCGCGGCCAGTCTGGGCCTTGTTTTCAAGGCGCGTCCTCACCCTTCAAGACCAGCACCGCCAGCGCGGTCTAGTTGCCGACCAGAACACGCCAAGCCTCATCTTTGTACAACCTTGTTGAGGTGGAGAGAAGCATTCCCCGTGTCATACACCGACGTGTTGTGGACAAGGCAGCTTTGACCCGTGGACCTGACCTCCGTTTTGACTTTGTCAACCGTTGCGACTAGTTGGGGCACTCTGAGCGGCAGCTGCGAGAGTTTCCACAAGCATACTTGCATGGTTGGCTGGCAGTGGGCGTGTTGCTACCCTTTTGAAGCTTCCCCTTGCTGTCGCCGTTGTTTTGTTGGTCATGTCGGCATGCCAAGCAATTCTTCGCGAAGAGCCGGTTCGCTCGAGGAACAAAGCTTGTTCGTTGAGTGCACCCTCAACTGCTGTGGTTCTGAGGCTGTTGACATGGCTCAGCTGCCCGTTTGAGGGTAACTTTACTGCGTTATTTCCGGGGACGACCGTCAGAATGGACTACAATGATGGAATCTCCTGCAACCCGGGTTTCATGGAAAACAGAACTTCTAGCAGCGGTGAGGATTCCGGCAAGGATATGGAGATAGATTTGTATGATGATGGTGAGAGAGAAAGAATGGAAGCCACGGCATTGGGCACCCCTCCCTATCCCTCCACTCTGCTGGCCGCAAGGAGCCCAGGCGGGCAGTGCCCACTTCGCTGTGCATAGATGGAGACCTGCCATGGAACACACACCTCCCTTGGCCTCCCAGGGAGGCCTTGGGCCCGGGCTCCACAGCGGACCTGCCGTCCGCCCATCTGCGATATGCCGAGTTCGCGAAAACAGACGGCCACCATGCCATCCGTCCACCGGACACCTCTTGGGTGTGTTTGGTTGTCCGCAATAGTAGCTTGAGGTCCCATTGTGCAGCGAAGTTGAATAAAGTACTACAGAAATTGTGACAAGCCAGAAAAGGGGGCTCTTGAAGGAAATGCTGTTGATGTAATTCAAACGGCCTCTTTTGGAGTGCACACGGGAAGCGCGAGTCCACGATCGCCGATGCTTCAACGGCGTTGGCACACGGCCAGACGCAAAGCCACACCACACACAGACCGCCGGGCTTACATATTTGTTCACTCTTCCCACAACGAAGGGCCTTGCCGACGGTGGCAACGACTCCCGCAACCGAACCGTTCGAATTTTTTTGCACCCCCAGAACTTTCCTTTTCATGTGACAAGGACCATCATCCATCATCAACCAGCTATACCGCACTTCAGAGATACCAATTCATCACCACAATGCAACCCACTTCATAAAACATATGTCAAAGATGCCCATACACTCAGTGGTAATGCACAAATATGTACAAGTCGCACACCACAATGCATAAGTGATCCACCCAGTGAAACGGTGGTCATTATGCGGTGTTGCGAACAGGGCGCTATTGGGGGCCGGGCGCTATCAGGGGGGCGCTATATAGGGACCCCTACTGTATATGGTAGTGGCCAGCCTCTGGCGGCGTCTGCATTGGAGCGCATTTTTCAGTAATGCGGTGCCGTCTAACGGACGAGCAGGCAATAGTTGAGCCAGGCACCACACTCCCACCACCGAAGCACCCATGCCAATGGAAACGCAAGGCGTCCCTGAAGGAGCAGCCAACTGCTCCACAGCATTTTGCAGAGTTGGCTTGCGCAACGCCCACACGTTGGGGTGGTGACACTCTGGCCGCCGTGGTGCGATCGTGGCAGCCAGGTCGGACACACGGGCATTCGCGACACCATCATGGCTCCTGCAGTCGGGGCGTGGCGCAACTCGGGAATGAAGAGGAGAAGTCTTGCCCGCAGAAGCGCACCTTGCCCACGGAAACTGCCAGGCGTCGGGCATCAGCTCACGGTTAGGGGACCCAACTGGCCCCCGAACCGCTGCACTTTGTGACCGCGGTCGTTGAAGCCACGCGTGAAGTCGAATCAATATGTGCATCGGAATATAGAACGACGGGGATAACCGCACAAGCACCGGCATGGCAGGAACAACACTTGCTTTTAATGCAAGCAGAATATGCGCACACATAGAGTGCGCATGCTAGCAGTGCAAGCATTGAGAACGTCGAGTGTTCGAAACAGTTTGTATACAATTGAGTTTTGCACTTGCCACCCAAACAAGCCTAGTGTTCCCCGTTGACCGGTGAGGTAAGAAAATCCCACTCTCTCCCAGAGTTCTCGAGCTAATCAAAAGAATATGCAAGCACCGTCGGGTCTGGCTGCCCGCAAGTGCCTGGCACAGCGCAAACAGCCGCCGACCTATTCGCAACGTCTGTTCCCCATTCCGGAGGGCATCTGCGCAGAGCACCCCTCTCCACCAAGTTCTGGATAGTGCAATATAATCGTTGCTCGCAAATGATAGCCAAGCACCCCTCCAATCGCAGCCTGACAGCCAACCGGTGCGGGTGCCTGGACACGCTGTTGCCCAAATCTCAACACACCGGCACACATGTTTCGCTGGCAAAGCCTGCGGGCAGAGACGCCGCACTGCTGACACAAAGCCGATGTGCCCGCACCAAGGACTGCAATATCCGAACATGTCTTGATTGGTTGACAGCGACGAGGCATCCATCGGCCTGCTTGACATCCAAAACACGTCCAGAACGCACGCCATGGGGTCACAGCCCAAGCTTCAGGTCATCAATTGCAAACGTGGCAACTTGCCCCTCTCGTCTCGTTAGCTGACGACACAGCACTGACAGTTCGACGACCGTTGATCCATTGTCAGCTCGACATCCACCTGGGCATCCAGTTCCTCCACCTCCCCAGAGCTGGCAATCTTTGCCAGCTTGTCCAGGACGAGGCCAATACTGGGCCTCTGCCTCGGGTCATGGCACCAGGATTGCTGGATCAATTCTTTGATGGCTGACGGCCAGTGGGCGGGGATTGCCTCCCTGTGGCCCCTGGACACACTGTGGGCGTATCTCTGCATCTTGACTTCCATCTCGCCCGCTGTGGCGCACCCCGACAGCACCCGGACGATCGTGAGCTCCATGCGAAACAGTTCGTACATGATGACGCCAAAGCCGAACACGTCGACCTGGAGACACACACGCCACACAAGCACTGATCAACAGACGGCTGGCACACAGATTGCTGGCAGCGAATGTTGCAGAGGAAGACGTTCCTCAGCACCGTCGGAAACGACTGGTCCATGCTGTCCTCAAAGGCAGATGACGCTGACAAAATGTGACAGGCAGGCCAGCAGTGGCAGGTGAGCAGCCAAGACCAACCACCACAGGCATGGGCAGCTGCCGGAATCTAGGCACGTAGGCTGCCACTACCGAGGGGCTGCACCTCGTGATGTTAAGTCCGGCAGGCCATGCGTTGCATGCTGGAGCACGGATGCAGCACCTTTGGGTGGGTGTGGTGCTCTGGAAAGGAAAGGAACCAAGGGTAGAGCCCGGCAAGATGCAACTGCTACATGTAGGTGCAGCGAAGTATATGCTATGGTTTTGGGCTTGCTTCACACAGTGTATATGCCCTCGGACAGCGATGGCATTTTGGAAAATTGACTGTATTGTACACCAGGCTGTCGGGCTTCCACGTGGTGCTTTTCAAGCCATCTGCTAGATGCGCTGAACTCAGCTGAACTGATAGTCCTTGCATTACCTGCAGGGGGGGACACCTTGGCCACTCACATGCTGCATCACTAACTCGTGCAGATGTCATCAGAGCACTTTACAGGAATGTCTGAACCCGTAGATTTTGTCAGTATAATGTTAGATGTCCAGCAAGCACTACTAGGTCAGCGCAACTTTCAGCAGCAAAGCGGTGTCACGCACATGTGTGGTTGCTCATATTTTCCAAAGTACTGGACTCGTAACACATTGCCTGAAACAGTGCCTGGAGGAAGGCCATTGTTGCCACGCAAGTACATCACCACACTACAAGAGCAGGGCGCCAAAGTTATTTCAGACCAACGACCAGGGAGCTTCCTATTCCACAAGCATACTCACACAAGCATACTCACACAAGCAAAGCAACATTTTAGAACCACAGCCAGTGAGTGAAGACATCCACCTTGGAGGCACAGCCCTGCACACCACTGGAAGGACTCCGACACTGCCTCCTTGTTGCCAGCGCAAACCACCAACACATCGACTGTCAAATGAACAGTTCCTGCCTGTTGGTCCCACCTTGGCGTACAACGTGGTCACACAAGAACGTTCATGACACTGATGAAATACAATGCACGCTGTGCCACTTAGAAAGAGACCCACGGGCTTACCTTCTCGTCATACTTCTCACCACGAACAACTTCTGGAGCCATATACATGAGGCTGCCCACCATGCCAGACACAGTGGAGCCGGCCACACTCCCAATATTTCCAAGCTTGCTGCCACCAGCTCTTGGGGATCTCTGCGGACATTGCAGCGCAAGGCCATCAGTCAAACACACACGACTCCACTGCAGAAGGCAAGAAGTGCTTCGTTCACCAGGAAGCAAACCACCAAAGGGGACAACTGCACCTTCCTAGCCTCCTTTTTGGGTTTCCTCTTTCTGCCTTTCTCCCCTCCGCCACCACCGTCCAGGATCTCGAGTGCATTGAAGGAGCCATGTTGCTGTGCATCGCCAAGACGTCTGCCTCCACCTCCTGAAGCAATTTCGGCTGAGTCTTCGGTAGATCCGAGGTTTTTCTTTGAAAACTTCCTAACGGCACCCGCTATGCGGCCGGACATGGTCTTCTTTATACCACCAGAACCATGTTCCTGAACATGGCACAGATGCTCCTTGGAGACAAGCACATATTGCAATTACAGAAATCGTACATGCAACCCTCGCTGGAGGCAGGTGTTCAATCTATCTGCAATGGACACAACATGGCAATCTTTGTATCAATGCAATGGCACGCAAGAAACAGATGTGCACTGAGAAGCACAGAGAGCCAACAAATCTGACAATAGATGGCCTGAAAGTTGCCTGGCCTGACAGCATTAGAACCATGTGCAATTCTGAGCATTTTGCTGGGAAAGTGACAGCAGGTCCAAAAGCGGGATGAATCCAGCACCCAAGGAAACAATTATGTGTGCAAGGACAGTGGCACATTCGATATAGCTATGGATTCCAAAGTCGAGATAAAATTGACACATACGACTGTGGTCAGGAACACACAGAGTCGTTGAGTGAATAAAGGGCGCAATACAACCCTCTCTAACTAGGCCACCCTCAGCTCAGCTCCAGCCTAGATCCGCGAGATGCAGAGCAAAGAGGCCTCGCATCTGCAGAGCCTTGCTGTCAATGCATGGATTGACCACTACAGCCCACAGCAAAGCCACCCCATTAGCCGGCGACGCTGTTCACCATGCCAATCGAGAGGCTATGCGTGACCCACGGTCAATCGGGCCACCCAGGGCACTGGTCATCCGGTGTGGGCAAGATCGAGAGGGTCGAAAGAGAGGGGAAAACTTGGGACACTCCTTTTTCCGGCAACCCTACACAGGCTAGTTTGCAATCGAGCACCTGCAAAGCCGACTGGCGGCTGCCTCTGCTGCACTCAAGTCGATCTGAGCATCCTCGACATGCCACACCCGCTGCCGCACCCTCCCCAGGCCTTGACAAAGGCAACACCTTGCAACCACTGCAGTTCAACAGCTTTAGGCAGTGGCCACACCCACGCCCGCTCCCCACTGTCCACTCAGCTCGTCCTGGAGCGCTCTCCTTTGGCCCTCCACCCAGCAGCCTGTTGGTCTCTGCGACATCAGCCTCATCGTTATGTACTGCAATCCCATGGGGCGGCCTCCCGCTTGTCGAAGCTCTCTGGTGCCACCAGGGGCCCCTTTCATCATTTGCAGATCCTGGGGGCCCTCTTGTTGCCCGTTCAGCACTCGTGGACTGACAAGCATGTGGAGATGTCAGCAATGCCTCGAGGTCCTCTGCCGAGGACCCTCGAGATATCAACGCACCCACAAAGCCGCCATGTACCTTCCCCTCTCCCATGATGGCACTCGAATCGCTCCTATCAATGTAATCTGAGCTGCAGTCATCAGGCCAAGCAACATCCCTGTCATCATCGCTGACAGCCTCTGCCTGGTCTGCCAGAGTGGCACCCTCTGGAGGCGAGCGCACAACGCTGATGCTTCCTGGTTCAGACCAACTAAACGTCGGGAGGATGTTGCCCATGTCTGTGAAGCTGCCAGGCGGGGCCCCCTCCTCAGGGACGCTCTCCAGGCTCAGAGTCGTGTGCAGCGTGCTGAGAAACGAGGACTTGAATGGCAACCTCTGCAGGCCCTGCCGCGGAATGTCCACCCGCCCACTCACCTCATCAATAACATCTACCCCTCCGCTGTGCAACGCAAAGGCCGACTCCTGGGGCTGGCGTGCATCCCGGAGCCTGCACTCAGTCTGCAAACCCCCAAGTCCTAGCTGTGTGAGTTCTATGTCCCCTACAACGCACCTGCCATTCTGGAGGCGACCTGGGTTGTTGTGTGTTCCTTCAGAGTTAAGTTTTAGGGCACTATTCTTTTTGGGTTTCTCTCTGCTAGCTGAATGACTCTCTGGTACCTGGGGGCTGGACCCCTCCTCCGCAGAGCGCACATCCTCCTTGCCTTGCATATCACTCAGGTCGTTGAATGCATGGTTCAGGTTTAGCCGCTTGTTTATCTTGCTGAGTCTCTTGTGCAGGCCGAAGTCTGCAATCTTCGCCTGAAAGAGGTCAAGACAAACAGTCAGATGCACAGATGCACGGCTGTCTCAACTAAGCAGAAAAATGAAGGGGTGCATCACCTGTGATCGCCACTGTGGCGCTCTGCTAGGTTCTTGATGCTGGGAAGTTCAAGGGTCTAGATCCGAGCTGTTTCGGCAAGGAAATGCAAGTGACAGCAGCGTCAGGTGCATTGGCTGCTTTGCTTCACAGCAATGCGTGCCGGGACACAAGCATGCTTTCATCTTAACCCACCAGTACAGAAGCCTGAAACCTACCTGAGCATCCTTGGTGTTCGTCTTTGTCAGAAGAACGTTCTCTGGCTTTAGATCCCGATGCACAACAACAGGATCGCAGTGGTGAAGGTAAGACAGCGCCTCGGCGATGTGGGTGCACCACCGCAGAGCCTCCACCAGCCTGTACTTTCTTGGCAGCTTCTTTTTCATTTGCTCCAGGATGAGGTGTTTCAATGTGCCCCCACCCATGAACTCCTCAGCGAAAAACACAGTCTCTCGCATGGCGCACACAGAATCAGTCTCGTAACTGCCAACTCCGCAGAAGCGCACGATGTACCTTTGCACAAACAACAAAAAGACAAATATGGCATAGGGATCATCGTCCATTGCAACAGTGCTTTCAGCAGTTTTCAAGTTTGCGAATTCCTCGCTGTGCAATAAAGTTGTGCGCTCCGAGTCGCGTCGCACTCTTTGCCAGGTCGTGTCAGACCCACATCTCCTCTTGCGTGAGGGGGTGGCACCTGGACTTCTTCAGGCGACATTACACGACGCGTCGCAGAATAGCAGAGCCTTCCGCGACGCGGCAGTTCAAGCGCGGTGCCTCGCAGTGTTGTAGCTCCTTGCATACTGAACGACAAGAACAAAAACGGCCACTTTCTCCGGCAGTCGTGCCTCCAAACGTGGACGAACGCATCAGCGCTGCGGAAACCCAACCGCGTCGCCGCCTCTCACTTGTGTTCCATCTTCCTCAACAGATTCGCCTCCTGGATGAGCTCCTTCATGTCCTCGTCGTCCTCAATGATGCCAGGCTTCAGCGCCTTGATGGCCACAGTGCCGGCGCCCCCGGGCCCCTTGAGCTCCGCCTTGTGCACCACCGCGAAGCCGCCCTCGCCAAGGCGCTTCGAGAGGCGCACGCTGGACTTGTCCAGGTACACGTCGCCCGCCAGCTGCTGCAGGAAGATCGGCAGGTCGGCCATCACGTGAGCTGACGGGTCGAGAACCACATCTGCCGGCCAAACCAGGGCACCCGTCGGCGACACATGTGAATTCGGGTCGCCAGCGACGCAGAAATGGCGCCGGAGCGACAAAAGGCGGTGGGAAACAGCCTCCACGGAGGCGCTGGACTGGCGCACTTTGGCCGCAAGTTTCTACTACGCGTCTGCGCTACTCTGCTGCACTGGGAGGCTTCCTCAGCATTTGCAACAAAGAACGAAAGCGCCTGACGCAAATTGTTGCCCAGGAACTGTGCGCCCGTTGTGTTGCCTGTTCCGCTGCTCGTTGAAGCGACGATCGTCATCCGTGGTCACCGCTCGTGGCCATTACGCGGTCACGACACCAGGACACGGGGACGTCCCCGGAACGCTGCGGAGTGGCGCCGGCACTGCGCTGCGTGGAGGAAGCTCCGCCTTTTGGAAAAAATCGTTCAAGTCGCCGCGGGGTGGGCTGGGAATGGGCGTCAGCCCGGGGAGCTCACCAGAAGGTGGACTTGACAGGGCTTCCTCCAGCGCGTCTTCCATGTTCATGCTCGCCTGCGCCGCTGCGGCGATCTTCTGCCCGCGCTTCCTCACGTCCTTCTCCACCTGGGATCGATCACGAAAGAACGGCACAAGGGTGGGTGGACGTTGGCGAACGCGGGCGCCGAAAGTCAACAGTGGCGGGGCATCCGTGTCGAGAGGGGGGGGGCAGCGCGACCAAGGGGGGTGGGCGCGGCGAGAGCAGTTGCTGGGAGGGTTGAACTAGTGGCGGAGGGCGCGCTGAGATGATCGGCGAGGTTTGAATGAAGGGAACAGCAGTGCAACGCAACGGGAAGGGGAGAGGAAAGCATGCAAACGGTGCGGAAGCAAACGGACGGCGCGGACGCCTATCCCGATTCGCGGTCCGAACTCCGGGGGCGAGTGGCCCGGTCCAACCTACGATCGACGCCGACTCAACGATAGAGACATGCGGGGGAGGCTTACGGCACCTCCGCGGGGCACAGGGGGACCAAACCCAAAAGAGGGTGCGGCATGCCGGCACGGCCACTCACCAGGATGTCGAAGAACGTCGTCGGCGCGGGCTTGATCTTCTGCCTCGACCGGCTCTCGTGCAGCGGCTCGCTGGCCGCTCTGGCCAGGGGGTCGTCCATCGCCGCCCGGCCTCACGCCCCGAATCACCGGCGCCCACGCACCCCTGCCAGTGCTCTAAACACCCGCAGTGGCGCCCCCACCCCAGAAGGGACAACGTTTGTACACGCCCAGGCAGCCGCCGCCCCCAGGGCGGGGGGAGCACGCGGCGGTTGACGCCTCCGCTGACCCAACCCGACTCTCCAAACCCAGCCCTGAGTGGCCCCTCACCCGCCCCCAGTTATGTCAGCGGCGCGCCAGGAAGCGGGCGGCCACCCAACGTCCACTGGACGTCGCACACACCCTGACTCAGTCGGCGCGAGGGGCGCGCGGCGCCCGGAGCGGGGGGCGATCGCCGACCTGGCGTGGTGCGTGACGCACAAGCGATGGCCCGGCTGTCGTGAGGACCACGGAGTTGCCGTGGGGTGGCAGTCGGGATGCGCGCAGCGGATGGGGCCCGCCCGGCGAGCAAAAAGCTCCTTTCCTTTCGCACGCCGGCAAGGAATGCACGAGACGTGCACGTTTGCGTTTCGGCGGGGGGTGCGAAGTGGCGGGGTCCGAGCGCGGTGGTCCCCGCCTTGCACGGGCTGCTGGGCGCGGGCGCCAGCCAGGCCGCTGGATGCAGAGGCGCTCGCAAGGGGAAAAGGAGCGCCTCTTGTTGGTGCCCGGCATTGGGCGGCGGTGACGCGTCAGCGCCGTCAGTGGTCGAGAGCGGCGCGAGCGCTGTCCGACCAGGATCGTTGATGGGGAGCCGGGCCCGTTTCTGAGCCGCTTCCCGGTGGCCTGCACACAAGACTACTACTTTTTTGCGTGGTACCGCTGAAAAGCGATTTGATGGCGGCGTTTCGACGAGACGGGCAACAATGGCGGTGGTGACTAATGGTGTTACAAGGGAAAGTAACCCGTCCTAATAAGTGGCTCACACTGGGGCGGGTGGGCCCGAAGTCCGCCCCGCCAAGGTGGACGGGAGGCCGCAGTCCATCCCATGGCCTGAAAACTGGGCTCCATGGCTGTTTCCGCTTCTGGCGCCACTGCACAAAGTCATTCCTGAAGAGGCATCTGTGTCGTTTGCCTTCCCTGGAGCATGTCAATGCTGGGTGGTGCTGATGGTTCTGTTGCTGCTGCGATGAATAAGCCAACACTGGGGGTTTTAACGCCGATTAGCATCGAGTCTCTGCCCAAACTACCAATTATCAACGACAGGACAACCTCCAATCTAATCCTCGGAATGGAACACCCACTGCCCAGCTGAAACTGAATGAAAATACAATGGCGAGGTGCATGCAGATGCACATGCTGTTTTGTTTTTTCCAAATTGCATTTTCAAGGCATGAAGGGTGTTGCAGCTGGACGATGCTTCATAATGTACCCCTGGACACGGCCCGACTGGTGCACGACGAGAAGGCACCATGCGAAGATGCGCAAACCCGAAAATGCAGGGGATATGTGGCCCTAGCCGTCAGCGACGGTGATAACAACATCCTGAATGACCATGGCCATTGTGGGAGAGATGCCGAGAGCCACATATCCTACATGCTCATCTCCCCGACCCCTTCTTTGCTTTGTGGCGGCTCAAGACAATGAACTTTCCGGTGCGTTTGGTTTTTCTTGTCCTCTGGCCCTTTGTTGGTTTGCCCCAGGGTGTGCAAGATGGCCTTCCGCCGGACGTCTTGCCCTCTCCACCTCCATGTGGGTGGTCGATCGGGTTCATAGCCACTCCCCTCACTACTGGTCGACGACCTCCCCAACGCGTCAATCCACCCTTTCCAACAACACGATTCATGTACTGCGGATTTGACACAGTGCCGATGGTGGCTGTGCATCCTATCAGCACTTTCCTCTGCTCGCCTGAGCACACACATACATGACAAAGAGCAACATAAACACAACATACAACAAAGCAATATTGTCATATAAATAGCCAACTTTCCACTGCACACACACACACACACACACACACACACACACACACACACACGTGCATTGCACATCTCTACAACATGGTTCCATCCATCACCTTCGCACAGTGAGAATGGGCAGCTTTGCCAATTCAAGACAACCACAGTCAAAGCCGCCCAGCACCACCTGATGTGTGAAGCAGCCATGGAAATGCGACGAAAGTGCACCGACATTTGACACAAGCATTCAATCAGGATTCTGCAGCAATGTCGCTCACCTGAAGGCAACCTGACAACAGCCCACCCATCGCTTCCCTTTTGCACAAGAGTTGCAGAGCACCCAGCGGCTCGGCACAACTGCCCTCCCTTCCCCGGAGTCAATTCGATGTTGTAGATCCTCTGGCCAGCTGGGATGTTCGCCAAGGGCAACGTGTTCCCGGACTTGATTGGGGCACCAGGGCCCGAAATGACAGCATCGCCAGGGCCCATCCCTTGAGGGGCCAGGAGGTATGTGTGGGTTGCAGGCTGTCCTGGATCTGATGGACAGCCAAAACTGAATTGAAAATGCAGCAGCGCTGCAGAGTGACATGTTTGTCCACAGTCCCAACTCTAACCTCCATCAGTACTGGTGTCAAAATTTCGACAAACCTGCGCTTGTTTGCCTGAAAACAAGATATGCAAGCCAAGAGATGCTCATCTGTTGCCGTGCTCATCCCATTCTGCTGATTACCTCTTTCACAACGATAGCAAATATGACTTGAGATGTCGACAAAAAGCGCAGATAACAAACTCTAGAGCACTGGAACAGGGCAAGTCGTCAGAGCGGATGCAACCGCTTGCCTTCAACACTACTACTCTGCTGGGTTCCCAGAAACGATTGACCTGTGATTCATCCGCCATTCACGGACTGTGCTCCACAGCAACAGAACTGCACAAGTAATGCAATGCCTGGTCTGTCACTGGCTTCATTATCTTTGTTTGTGTAACTGCACAAGCATAAAACAGGCTTGAGGCTGAGCATTCTTTTGGATTTGAACAGTTTTGGGGCTTTACATCGCCTTGCACTCTTGTGCAAGGTGGCACAAGGCCCACACATCTTGCGATAGGACAGGGGAGGCACCTGGACGATGAAAAGTGATGCTACATTTGGAATAAAAAAATAAAGCACAAAACAGTTTAGCGATTCCTGGGTCTGGCATTGGGCTTGAGCATACCTTGCTTGTACTTCACAAGTGCTATGTTGCCTGAACGGTTTGGATCGTATTCAAGCCGCTCCACAACGCCTCCCTGTCCCTGAAGGCACCACAAGATCTCCGATCAGGTACCTCCCTCACAACCCCAGCACCAGAGTTCAAGCTACAGTGCTAAAATGGATGTGGCTGGAAATCCCAGGACCCTGGACATCGTCTTGCAGCATCCATGTTACACACTCACTAGCAGGCACATAGCCATGTCCAGGAAACAACATCCAATGCACGGCCTTGGCACTCAAGCCCAAAGGAAACATCTAACAAGTACAGAGAAGTGGCAGTGCTGTTTTCGGTGTGGAGTTGTTGTCGATCTGGTGGTGTGGATGGTTAATGCCCCGTGTCACTCTCTGACTGGGCTGCAGCCTGTTGTCAGTTGGATCTTGGTGTTCTTGTGGTGCAGCAATGCAAACACAGTCTGTGCACGTGATTTCACACTGTTTGCCAGTATATCCAACAAGCTTGAACCAGATGCTGGAAACCTCACCACTGGTGCTGTGGGCACAGGGTATATGCCCACAATGGAGTTGCACTACATGGCTTGGAACTACTCCGCTATCCTTGAGTCAGAATATGCGACAATGGGTCAGAACCTGCCTCAAGAGTTTTGTCAAGGGCGAAGCTGACGATTCGATACTTCTTTCGATGGCCGCCCCCGATGTGCCAGCTCGTGGTCCTGCCGCTGTTGTTTCTGCCACCAGTCCTTGACATCCCTTGAGTCAGTGTCTTGAACGGCTTCCCCTTCCACAGGCTGCTGCGGTCGATGGTCACACGTGAGCGCTGGCCATTGGATGTTGGCTTCCAGAACTTCAGCCCTGCATATGCCACCAGTCCTTTGAATTCACACCATGCGATTGCGTGTACCCAAACATGACAGAGTGCTGCCCTGGCAGTAAGTTGTGCTTGTCGCACTCATCAAAAGGCATGCCAAAGCACTCCCATGCATTGTCCACAAAAGCAACATTCCAAGTGAAGTGCCCCAGTGGCCCCAGCACTGGTCTCGATTGCCTGTATCCAAAATAAGAAAGAAGAAAGGAGCTCAGGAGAACACGTGTGGAAACAGAGATGGCAATGCATAGTTCAGAACAGAATAACGATGGCCAATCAGTGCCCCAAACCACAAACACCTACTCCACAGCAGCTAGGAAACAGCTTGCATATTAGGCTGTGGCATCATCACCCCACTTTTCATGCTTTCCCTTGATTGCTGATTTTTATCTGGTTCCTACCCACATGCACTACATAATGCCATATCCAGCATTTGTGCTACTCCAATATTGTACCTGAAGAGTTCTCCATCACCTTCTGCATGACAGATAATTGCAGACAACTGGAATATGGTGTATGATGATCCGCACTCAGCTGAGACGCGTCCCAGCACTAATATGCCATTTTGAAGCTGCAACATTAATGTTTCATTCATTCTTCATGATTGAAGGGAACATCGGAAATTCTTCCCCAGGAGAGGATCTGCCGTATTACGAAACGTTTTCAATTCCGGCAGCGGCAGAATCTTTGGCAATTCCAACAAGTGTTGTGGGAACAGCCGCCCATGGACTTGTCTGGCCTTTCCACGCCCTGCCGCGGGACTGACCTGAAGAAGTTGAAGCGCTCCTGCTGGGGCCAAGGGCAGCATCCAGTGCACCGCGCCAGCCATTGCTCCACACGGCGGGCGTGCCGATCAGGCTGGCCTCCAACTGCAGGCACTGCGGGACGTTGCGACAAAGCGCGCAGGGTCATGGCCGTGCCCGTGGCGATGATGACGGCAATCTGATGGACGCCGTGCGTCGGGCAGCATTCCTCTGTGAAAACCGCACAGCGCAATCGATGCACTGCCACTTTTCGCGTCAAGTCGATGCGCAAGCAGCACTGCGCCCGGGCGCGCTGGGGGGTCCACGAATCATTTCCTCACCACAGAGGCAGGAAGTTTGAGGGCGTCGGAAAAGACCGACGCGGCAAAGCGCCGGAGCATCTCGGGGTCTCCGCCCAGCACTGCGGGTCCCGCTGAAGCGACCGGCCCGCTGCGGGAGCAGTGGGCTGGGCCTTCCCCCCCGTCGCCTCCGCACCGCGCTTCCACAGGGCCCAGTGCATTTTTCAGCCATGCGAGAACGAAAATGAGACCCCAGGAGAAGAAAAATGTGCGGACGTGGTCGTGACGCTGGACAGAGGACAAGCAAAAGAGAATATATTACTCCCCCTTCTTGTTTGCTGAGATTCGGTTCTTATTCCGCTGACAAGGCCAGTCCCGGTGCGTGGATCAGTAGTTGGGGTTTAGGGTGTCCGAAAACAAGAATCGAATCTCAGCAAACAAGAACGGGGAGTAATTTTATGCCACAAGCAAAATATAGAGAATATATTAGTGCCTCAGCTTTTCTGTGTTCGAATCCCATCTTCTTGTGCCGACAAGGCCACCGTGGGTCAGTGGCGGTAGGTCGGCGGGCCAGTGGTTTTTCAGGGTTAGGGTTGTCCGAAACAAGATGGAATCAACACGAAAACACAGAAGGGCTAATGTAATGATGAGACAAGTGCGTCCTCACAAATCCAGGCTCCCGCTGTGACCGCCTGCACGGCCCGACACCAGCCCGACTGTCGCCGCCAGGGCCAGACACCCGGGCCCAACACCCCAGTCAGTCAGCCCACAGCGCCGCATGTTGGCGCTCCTCTTTTTGGCCAGCCTGGCGGCCCCGGCGGCCGGTTTTCCCATCGTGGGGCAGTGCCCGGGGGTGGACAGCTACTTCGACGTCGCCGGCCTCCAGTGCGCCTCCTGCGGCCCCAACGAGGTGCGGCGGCCGCTCCCCTCCTGCGGGGTGGCCGGGCCCATGCTGGGCCCAAGGTCACGGGGTTGCGCGCTTTTGGGGTCCCTTGGGCTCCCCGCCGGCGATCCTGTCCCCTGTGGCAGCCCCTGTCTCTTGTGCTCCTGTTGGCGGCGGGAAGGGGGGGGAGGGGGCGTGAGCGAAGGGGCAGCCGTCCGAGAGGGATTGATGGGCGTGGGGTTTGCAGGCAGGTAATTTTCGCGCAAGGGGGGCGATCGTAGTTTGTGTTGAGGTGTGCGCACGGGCGGCAGAGATCGCGGAAAACCAGAAAAGGGAAAGAATGCCCCTTTGAACAACAACAACGCACCGCCTGCCCCCCACGGACAATCTGCTGTGTCTTTCAATCGGACGTCTAATGCTTTAGGGTTGATGTTAGTTGCCGATCATAGCGAGTTCAGTGTAGACCGCTAGCGAGGGCGTGCTGGCTCTGACTATCTGAATTCATCAGAGACGCTTGACATGACCAATGTGTGGAACTTTCACGTTGCCTGTGAGGACATTCATTCAGTCAATCGGACATCCGCGTGTGGCCACGCCCTGGTCTCCGCGCTGCCGAAGAAATGGAGGGGCGGGTCGAGGTGCCACCGAAATGCGAGCAGATGGAAAGACGGGAGGCTTGAAGCTGGTGTGGTTTTGCAGGTCGTCTCCCAGTCGAATGACGGCTGCACCTGCCGTGAGGGCACTTTCAGATTCTCGAACGCCTCTGCAAATGAGCCATTCGACTTCGGGGAATGCCGCACGTGCGACGGCGAGGTGAGACGCGCGAGCGGCAATGCGCTTCTTGTTTCAGCTTGCGCGCATCGTTTTGTGTGTCCCTGGTGGACTATGTGCGCTTGCACAGGGGAAAAAGCAGCAAATGGGTGGTTCAACCGCACTGTTCACACGTCTCGTTTGTGAACCTCGCGACACTGATTTGCTGGCGTTTCGGAAACAATGCCTGTCAACACAAGTTGATGGCAAGCGTTGCGCACAACTAGCGCTTGTGCATTCATTGTTCTGAACAACACTCGCTTGTCCGATCGATAGAAAAGGATACTATGGGCCGGGCTTTGCTACTGTGGATACTTTCAACCTTGCCCTTGTCAGGCATCCTGGCTGCATGTGCTATCAACTTACCAGATGATTCACAATTTCCGTCAGGCAACCTGATTGTGTCCTCATTCAGCCGTTCCTCTTTGCATAATCTTTTGTGAAAGGACTTAGCGCGACTGCAGATATTTGCACACTGTATTATGCCCATCCGCATTTTAAATTTCAGCGTGATGTTTTGTGATCCGCACTTTTTCGACAGACCATTACTTTGGGGGGCTCCGCGTAACGGTCACAGCCGGAACGGCGACTTTGCTCAGTTCACACGGCCTCAATTGCTGGTTTTCTGGCACAATGACTAATGCATCCAAGGCAACTGGACGCCACGAGGACTCCAGTGACCCTCACGTGGCGGCTAGGGCTGCTCCTCATTTTCGCGGCACAGTTACATTTTTATTATTGCTTCACGTAAAAAGGCCAAACGTAACGTTGCAATGCAGAAGGGCGTAGTACACAACATTATGTTCCAATTTTGAATGACCCAACCCTGGCCGATGCAATCGTTTGTGATGCTCTTGCCGTTGCTCACATCTGTTATCATCTGGGGCCCGTTTTAGGCCCAAATAAGTGGCAGACACGTCTGAAAGTGGTTGCTCTCCTCTTTGGCTACTCCTTCCACAGATGCTGGCAACCATCAGAGATTGCAATTTTCAAGAGAAGATAGAGCACTACCCTTATGTCATTCCATGCAAAGTGTATGAAATGTTGGTTCTCTTCAGTTCAGACACAGCATTGTCCATTCACCTACGATGTGTTCAATCACACTGTTTGCAAGCACAGAGATTGTTTCCTGACAACTGTTGTTTTTGTCCTGTTCACCACAAAATGGCCCCCCAGATGGCGTTGTGACACTGGTACACATTGGCATGCCATGCAATGAGACAACCAGTGCCTGTGTTTTTCAAAGGACATGGTGCCATCTGTCACGGGCCGCTACTGCGTCCAATGTGATGGGACGTCTGGCACTGAAGGAATCCTCGATGGTGGTTTTCGGGTGGGGAACGACGAAAGATGGCAGCCAGCGATCAAGTCAGGAGACACCTGTGTGTGTGCAACGCCTGTGGCCAACTCAGTCGTAACAGAGTACGGCATCCATGGTGAGTCACATTTGCATCCTTTATTTGATCATAATCTGCAGTGACTCGTTTTGCCACAGTGACAAAGCTTGGCTCTTTGTTCATTCTCAGCATCTCCTGAAACATTATTTGTCGCTTTCTAGCATGCTCAGTCAACCAGGATTTGTGCTTCGTGTTGATGTGGCCGCGATCACAGCCTGTCAAGGATGTTAAACCATTGCGCATGGAAGCCCGCACTGCATTGGAGTGCCTTGAAATGGCAGAATCCGACAGGACTGCCTGGCATAGAGTCCAACCAGCAATGGACCTGCTACTGAAAGACTGCACACCTGGCAGGCAACACTGAACATAGCCAACTGCAGAATGTTGTAACCAAATCATTGAACAAGAGCAATTTTACGGTCAGGTGTCTTGCAGGACTTCATTGCCAAATTTGTTGCAGCACCTTTGGTTTGTCGTGTGCAAATGTAGTTCCAAACATGAATTGCAGGCTAAATCTTCATGCTCCTTGTCCTTCACCAAAGTTGCTCCTCATAAAATGCTATTCTTTCTGTGCAGCAGCCATATATCTGTCAGCTGACTGCCTGTAAACATGTAGGGCCTTGTTTTTCAGCCCAGAAAATGAGCATATCAGGGACACAAATATTCTGCCTGCTGGTGCTGATAGTCCTCTTGATATTATCAACGACGATGGCAACGCAGACGGAAGGTCTCCTTTTGTATCTCTTTTGCTGTGGATAGCCAATTGATTGTCTGTTGGCTGTGTGTGGCCAGGGACACCTTTCACCTCCAATGGTGTGCTGGTGATGCGCTGTTTAGTGTGCCCTGAAGGGACCATTGTGCACGATGGGCGTTGCACAGCATGCAGGCACCCAACAGTGCTGACTGCAGATGGACAGTGCTCATGTGGAGATATTGTTCCATGCTTTGAGGAAGGGAAGGAGATCCAATATATTGCAGATGAGCTAAATATTTTCGCGCAAGGTGCTGTGCAGGTTTGGCCGAGGCGTGAAACCTGCCTTTCCTTTCTTGGTTGCTGAAGTGGATTCACTGCAGTTGCTTCCTTGCGTACACCTTGGTGATGAAACAGGCAAACTCTGGCTCCCTTTTCTTTCTTTGTCAAATGCATCCTGGAGCAGAGATTGCATCTTTTTTTGTGGGCTCCCTGCTGCTAGAGCTTGGGCCAGCCAGGGACATGTACATCAGTTTGTGCCTCGTATTTTCCTGCTGGGTTGGAAGCTTTTGTGTGTTGATTCCCTATCCCCTTGATTGTTCGCAGGCAGTCTTCAACTCTGTGCCCGATGTGTTTGGGAAGGCTGTACGAGTGCAGGTTGAAGAATCAGCGCCACTTGTTGAGCTGCAGGGAACGTCTGGTGCTGAATGCCTTACTAAGGGTAGCGAAGTGGCCTGCAATGCCCTTGCCAACCTGTGTGTCCTGCAGCAATACAAATCGTGAGTGTTTGTGGGACACCCCAGTGTGAACTTGTTGTATGCCACCATGTGGAGTATGGAGTCTGCCACAGCATCCATCGTATCCAGCGAGTTCTAAGGGCCACGCCTTGTCTCGCAAATGCGCAAGTGTGACCAGAGGGATGCAGCATTTGTGCTGAATTACCCAGTCTCGCCACTGACTGCAGTGCTGAATGCAGGTGTTGCTGCTTGTGTTGGGGCAGGGGTGCCTTGGGAGGCAACTGCCCTTGTCGTCAAATCTGAAAGTTGTTATGAAACGTATTCCTTGCAACTTGCAACAGACTGACAGTAGTTCAGGGTCTGCACACTCATGGAAGCTCTCAACATTGCAAGGATCTACGTCTCTATTCTGTGGCCGAGCTGCGGTGCAGCAAGCCGTTCTTCTTTCGCAGCAAGGCCTCCATTTCACACTTTGTGTCCCAATAGATCGTGTGGTTCTGATGCTAGTGTGGAACCGCTTCTCCTGTGTTTTGTTCTGAATGGTATTTTTGATAAGATTAATGTGAGTTCAGCATGTCAGCCTTGATATTGGTTAGGGCCCGATGTTGCTTGGAAAGCTGCTTTTAACAACATGGTTTGCTTTCATCTGCCATGTTCATCGGACAATGTGTGCTTATGCACACATCTGGCATGCACATGATTATTGCGCCGCAGCATACTGTGCTGACATGCGTTTTTGTACGGTTCCTGGGCAGAAGCACATTTGCATGTTCTGTGTACGAGAAGTTAATGACAGCACGGAGACGTCGACCATATCATTCTGAGTCTGTGTCATCTGGAGGGTGGTCTCATACTCTACCCTGGCTGTGGTATGATTCACCACCCAAACAATGGCTGGAGGCAGAAGATGTGCAGATACGGTGAGCTGCACTTGGCCACCTCACCTGTGTCGTTCAGGTTTTGCTTTAGTTAATGGTGGCAGTTGCGCAGTTTCAATAGTATGCAAGCCATGTTGCCTTTGCAGTATAGCGCAAAGAACTCCACCTTTGTTGTACCCATGCTCAGATTGATGACCACCTCTATTTCTGCCGTGTTTGCCTTGCCAAGATGGTCATTTGTTGCACACCTAGTGGTCATGCCAGCAATAGTGATGATCGTCATGTTGAGCAGAGAGAAAGTATGCAATACAAAGAATGCTCTGCCTTGAACAAAACTTCTAGATTACTTCTGCCACACACAAGATGGAAGAACTTCTCTCAACACAACAGGAATGTTGCTCAATACAGAGCCTATGATAGTATTGCCTGCCTTGTTGTTGACGTAGCTCAGCTGCTCCGTGCAGCTGCACTGTCACAGCACTGAAGATGGTTCTGTGCGGAGTTTCTGACTCCCTGCTGAAGCGTGCAGGGGTGAGACATTCATGTGCATAATACCTGCACAAAGGTGTTGCCATCAGTGTACACTAGCCTTCATCACGGTCGTTGCCCACTCCATTCATCCATTGATTCCTTTGGTGGCATGTGCAGAACTCCCAATTGGCTGTTGGATCCCCACCGTCGCATGCAGTCTGCAGTGACTTGAGCTCAACTCCCAATGCCATTGATTCATCCATTGTCTTGAGAATTGTTGAGATTGTACAGCTTACTCCAAGTCCCCTCCTGTCCTGTGCCACATTGACCAGGGGTACCTCTGGAAACAACCCCAACAACCACAGCCCTCCGTTGCATGTCTTTGCCTTGCAGGTGCAGGGCTGGTGGTTGATCCTCGGCTCCCAGCTGACCTGTTGTCTTGCTTGGTTGGCTCAGGGTGCAATTCAGCGGTGGCAGCATCGAATCTGGTTCGGTTTCGCTGTTGCCATTCATCCTGTCTGCGTATGCCTTGAACGGCAGCTGGCTCGGTTATCAAAACCTCACAGACCAATTTCAGATCTGTGGGGCATGGAAGCGCCACTCGACCTCCTGGCGGCGCTTTGGACACAACTACATCAATGACTGCACGCTGCCGCTGGCTGAGGTTGGTGCACTCATCGAGGCTCATGGGCCCCCTGTGTTCTACGAGCTCCACTTGCAGGACAGCCCTGGGAGCTTGTACCCCGTGCCAATCGTCCTTCTGGGGCCTGGCGATGAAGAGGGGGCAGTCATTGAGGATGAGGACACAAGGCTGGTGCGCAGGTTTTTCTTCATGGATGGAGATCTGGGGAAGGCCAGGGGAGGCGAGGATGCAGCCGTGGTGCAGTTCTTGGAGGAGTTTAAGCTGACGGTGACGTTGCGAGGAGATGGGCAAATATATGCCCCAAGGCTGACGATCAGGTAGGTGTGTGGATATGGTAGCTTACAAACAGATCTCTCGTTGTGATGCAGGCATGCACTCCTCAAAAGCCAGCAGGCATAGCTGGCAATGGATACCAGCACCAGCAACAAATCTGAAACAAGACTGAACTGCATCCTCAAGTTCCTCCTCATGGCAATGTCAAGCCAACAGCAAGCAAATGGATGGTCTGAATCGCAACAGCTACAGATTCTGTGGGCGGTGTTGCAATCACTGAAATAGGCATGGTTGTGTCCATTGGGGCACTTTTGGATTTTGTCTGGGAAAGCCAGTGATGGTAGAGTGGAATACGCACACTCTTCTTGGACTCTTGTTGCCAGCACTTGTCGTGTTGTCAGCTGGAAGGTCAAGATCTGCATGTGCAGTGCTGCTATGATTGTTAAGGATTCGTTCTCTTTTATTTGTGTCAAATGTGTTGCAGGGCTTCCTCTATCACCTGCTCCTGCATGTAAATGGTTCCAAATCCCTGCGATGCTGAGGTCCACAGCCCAGTCTTTTTCTGTTTGCTAGCTGAGGCACTCTCTGTGCATTGTCTTCATCACCCCTTTAAGGCGCGCAAAAATTCAGGAAAAGGAGGAACACAATGTGTCCCACCGAATGAAACGATGGAAAATAGAAAGATTAGGTGTGTGCAGGTTGTGTGCGGTGTTTTTTCTCAATTGTTGTGGCTGAAAATGCATATCGAGCACGCTCAAGGCAATCATGGCGCTTGCTCATGTGGTGACTCAGGTATGCTGTCCGTGCGCCAGCCTCATCAACAACGCCGCAATCCATCTGCTTCAAGGTATCCTACAAGAATGGACGCAGCAAGACCTCGTCCCTGAGGACCGTGTGGCTGGCCGTGGTAGCTGCCAGCCTGGCCTGTGGGCTGGTGGTGCTTGTCATCAAGGTCTTCCAGTTTGCTTTGGTCCAGCAGAGCCCAGGCTTGGACTGCACGTGCCTGGTGTATGCTGCAGTGAAGTTGGCTGACATCTCAGGGCATGCACTTCTGTTTGCGTTCGTCTCTGTCAGCATCTTCTTTTGGCTGATGCTGTTCAAACTGCAGAGGGAAGCATCTGTTGTGGTGGTGGAGGATGGAGATGTGGCAGGCTTCCGGGCGGCTGTGTTTGTTGCAGCTGTTGGACAGGGCTTGGGACTGCTGCACATGCTCTACAGGCAGGTGAGTCTTTTATTCCACATGGGATGCTGAGCAGATAAGAGGAGGAATCTACAATATGACGACTGCCAAGATGCGATTCACGAGAAATGACAAATCGCTATGAAACGATGTCAGGACGGACAAGAATATTTTCACAGTGGGATGATTGCTTATTGTTCTGGTCTTGTGTGGTGAATCTTTGCATGTGTATAAGAGGCAGAGCAATGGCATGTCCACTGTAAGCGTTTGCTGCCATTTTGTGAGGACTGACTGTGGTTTTGCTCTGAAAGCTGCCGGTATTCAAGGTCTTCCCTCTATCAACCTGGGAGCAATTTCGTGCAAGTGCTGATTGGGCTGTGCTCAATAACCAGCCCTAACTCGCTTCTCCCAACAGCGGTAGTGGCTCATTCATACTTGCCTGGTTGATGACGTGTTGATGTTCATGTGCAGAGCTGTGGTGAATTTATCTATTCTCTATGATATGTTGAGTCATTCATTTATTGGCCCAGGTGACTTACGACATTTTCTTCATGGATTGGGAGAAGCCGAGAAGGGTGCTTACACGAGGGGGAGGCCGAGAGGAGTCTGCGCCTGTCAGTTGCTGGCGCATGTTGTTCGTCGCCAATGAATGGAATGAACTCCAAGCAGTGCGCAAAACATCTCCAGCCTTCACAATGCTGTGCATGGTATGAATCTGGCTTTGCGGTGGAGAACGAAAATGCATCGCTACCCAATTTCCGCAGCGAAGCAGTCCCTATGTCTGCCCTAACTTTGCTGTGCAACAGTGCCGATGTTGGCAAAGGCAGGCACCAACTGGCTTTTTGTATGGTGTCCACTTGTCTTGGTGAAGGCATCCTAAGATATGCAGGCAGCACCGTTTATTTTCCATCAGTGCTTGCCTGTGGTTCGGAATGCACACATGGACCACCTGTTTGAGAGGCACCTGGCAGCACACCGTGTGGGAAGCAATGCACACTGCAGGATTGCACTGCTGCATCCATGCCCTTCTGAACACTGCTTGGCAGTTGTAGCTACAGCGCAAATGTTCCAGTGCTTTTCATTCACTCAGTTCTGTACTTGTGCTTCATGCTGCACAGCATGTGGAAAGTTGCAAGGCCAGTGATGAAACAACCAATGCCAGCAGGCACTGCTGATTGCATGATGTTTCTTATTGCTGAGGTGCTGAGGCATTGCATTTCCATTGCAGCGTTGCATTTCCATCACGACTGGCATTCCTTGACGTCAGCTGCTGACCCAAGATGGTGTGACTGGCCAAACCAGTCGATTGTGCACATGTCCAGAACTGCCAAATTCAGTTCATGAGGTGTGGCAGTACGTAGAACTGACTGGTTAGGACGTGCAGCAGGGTAGCGAAGAAAGCTCACTGTCTTGCAGAAAAGCACAGGGAGAGAATGGAAGGGCTGGCAAAATGACGGTGCATGGGAATATGTGTCCACGCATAGAGCAGGGCAGCCTTCTGCTTGCTGGCACGATGCATGGACGCATGTTTTGCACTGTGCAACATCTTTTTGTTCGTTCCTGGCTGCTATCTTTGAGCTGACTTGCAAGCTGCCATGTGTGCCATCTGGCCAGGTACTGTTCCTTGAGGGCCTCCACCTGAGCTGGGCAGCTCGGATGGACCCCAACGAACACAACCTGGACTGGAACCCATACTCTCAGGACAGCTCCCTCCTTCGGGTGGGGACAGATGCAGGTCTCTTCATCTTCATCGCAGCAGTGCAGCTCCTGTATGTCGGGGCGTTCGCACAGCGTTTTCTGCTGCACCCTCTCGCGCAGTTCGTGGACCTGCTGTTCCTGGCCAACATCAGCTGCATCATTCTGGACGACAAGCTGGCTGGGTAAGAATACCAAAGCAGGTGCCTTAGAATATGATAATCGGACGTCAGAATGTTCGGACGTTTGCAAGAATTTGGTGTTGTGTCGGAGGAGGAGCTCCACTCTGGACTACTGCACCACAAGAAGATGCAGGGAAGAATGTGTCGCTTTGTGGACTGGTGCTGTGGAGCATTTGAGAAGCACACGCCTTGAATTCGCTTGGGACAATATGTGTTAGCATGGCAAAGCTGCTCCTACACCTGCAACGCATATTTGCTTACTGCTCGCACCCACTGGAGTGTTGCCACCATGGTTGTGGTGCATCGTAAATGCCATGGATTGCCGTTGTGGGAACAGCCATGGCAGACACGGCCCTTGCTGTGGACTGGCGCAAAATGTCCAATCACTGTTTGTTCGATTTCTAAGTGCCACCATTCCACGCACCAGGCGTGATGCGTGCATCTCTAACAGTGATTCGTGGTCGCTGCATGTATCAAAAGCGATATGACCCACTGCCATTTGATCCTGTGTCGATTGTAGTTTCCTGAGCATTCCTGATGGCGAGCTATTTGCACACAGGTACTATCTCCATGGGCGGAATCAGAGCCAGTTTTCTGACACCAGCATCGTGGAGCTCAACAATGCGTTGCTTCAGGAGGAGGAAGGCCTTGTTGCCAACAGGGGCCTGGCGGCAGGCAACTCGACATTGGGAGACCCCGAAGTGAAGGAGAACCAGACGTTCCAAGTGTACCTCACGAGGGCGCAGAGGGAGCGGTATGAGGGCATCATGCTGGAGCACATGCACAGTGCCGCCAGGCACCAAGGGTCGGCTCAGGGGCTCCTGCGGAATGGTAGGAAGCCTTCCCACCGGCCGAAGGAGAGTGCCCTTGAGGCTAGGGCCAGGATTTTGGATGATTTTAAGAGCCTGGTGGTGCAGATCGAGAACAACCATGCTGAACAGGTGTGTGCATTGCCCGCATTTATGCCAGCATGTGTCTGTAGAATGGACGCTGTCAGCCGCAACGAAATTGATTGGAGAGTGCACAGCATTTTGACATCTTAGTCCAAGCGCAACTTAGAAATTCAGACATGCACCTGCAAGTGTGAATCCGCACCTCATGCCTGAAGCCCAGCATTTTGGAGAGTAGCAGGGTTACAACTTGAGCCGCCTGCCGTTGCCAATGTGAAGTGTACTGGCAGCACCTGTGTCAATGTAGCAACCTTCCCCCCCTTGTTCTTGACAGTGTAAGGCTCTGAGCGTTTCTTTGTTGCGTTGGCAGGTCCTTCCATCGTCATTCCTTGGGCGGATTCTTCGTCTGCCTCCTGAGCTCTCAGCCCAGAAGGCTGTCCTTGTGCACGACTTCCACTCCTCATTCGGAAACGTGCTGCTCTACGGAAATGAAGTGCGCCTAATCATGTTCGAGCTGGTCATGTTCTGCGCCCTCGATGTGAGCCTCAAGAGCCCGGGCATTGTTGCCTTCCTTGTTTACCTCATCAGCAGGCTCATCACGTGGGTGAGAAAGAGCTGCGGGGAGCGCAACATCTCAAGGAAAACGATGGTGGGAAGGCATTTCCTGATGTGATCCCCGCAGGTGCAGTTGCCTGCCAGTGGTGCGCTGTGAGACACAGTGACTAAGCTGCTCAACCAAGTCTCTTCTGGAACACGAGTCTCAGATCCAGCTGAGCACGATCTCTGTCGAGCTAGACATTGGCTGTTGCTCAGCTGTGAATCTGAATGTCAAAAGTCTTCCGATGCGTGCCCCGGCAAGGCTGTTTCAGCAATGTGAGCCTGAGGCAGCGTCGATAGAAGAGGGCATTCAAGGCGATTTGATATGCGATGCTCTGTGAGAACCCTTCCTCTGTCTTGGAGCAGTTCATTGGTGGGCAGCAGAAGTATAGTGGATCCATCAGTGGCGATTCTGAAGCGGCAGACACGTCACTGGCACTCGAGGACATAATAGAGTTTCTCACCTGTAAGCCCTGCGCTACTCGCTTCTCGAACACCTTGCTGTTGGTAAAGAGGCGCCACTGTCGTCAAAGCCGTTGAAGAGTCGTTCAAGCCGCTATCTTGAAGGGCAATGTACTCTCTGCAATGGTGCCCTGCCTTGAAATGTGCTCACCATGAGCAGTGGCGGGGTTGGCGTTGCCACTGCTAATGTACGGTTGCTCGAAGTACCCAGGAGCCACTTGCTTCCACTCAAGCGAGTGCATTCATCCTGCTCGGATCCGACTCAGGCCCCAAAACAGATAGTCACGGTGGAAGTGCCCCAGGCCACTTTCTGCCTTCCATGCTGTCATACACACTAACGAGCAGCGCTCGCCAACAATGACTATTTGCAACGCATCGGCCACATTTGGTTGCGTGCATTTTGGGGGGCACGGCCTTTGGTTGTTAGCCACAAGCATTGCTGCCTGCATAGCTCGCTTTCCTTTTGTCGCACCACGGCCCAAGATGGCAATAGATGCAAAAATGCCCAACGTGCGCTCGAAACACGCTGACCGCATGTACAGGGACACGACGCCAATGCGGTGCCTTTTCTGCCTTGGGTGCCACAACGAGTCCCAGGACCGGGCCAGAACTATTCAAGGGAAAGGCCATGAAGGAGACTGTGAAGGACAGAGTAAAAGCAACAGTGAACTTTGAGCTGCCAGACTCGCCTACCATAGCAAAGGGGTTCAGCAAACATCGTGGGACCTCGTGGTAGGATCTCGTCCTCAGATCTGCCTTGTTCCTTGGTACCACCAGATAACTTTCCTTAGCCCAGTGCCAAGAGACAATACCGCCACTACTTGGCGCCATTCACAAGAGAATCCAATCATGAAGTGCGGGTGACTTTGTTGGCTACCTATGTTGCCATTTTTGTGCACAACAATGGGCCACATAGCATCCCAACCGAGTAACACCTGCCATTCTGTCAAGATGAGGGCACACCAAGGAACAAACAGGTTGGCTTGTTCAAGGCCATCATCGCATACACCTCACCAGGTCACCAGCACAGACACTTCGCCACAGCCGCAAGCTGCCATCAGCAAGCTCAACTTTGCAGCTATTGAGCCACAAACAACAGGACGCAGGACAGCCTGGCGGCCATTGAGAGCACCACTATCACTACGGCAGATTGTTGACTCTTGTGTATGCATAAGGAGGTCTCCATTGCTGTCGACGGGGCATGGACGAGGAATGTGTGCTTGTGCCACAATATGTGCTTGTGCCTCGCACCCAAAATACAGCTGTAGATCCTGGACTGTTTGTTACATGTTGAACAATGTGGACGAAAGAAACTGCCACAAGTGGCAAAGTTTAACACAGCACCACAGGAAAGACCAATGGCTAATACCATTCTTAGGTCTTTCAATTCCCTCCGAAGCGTATACGATGAAGCACCTCTGTGCACAAGTGTTCAGGTCCCTCGAAACTAAAATGATGCAGTCAATTGTTCAATATTGAAGGTGGGCCCAGACTGGCTTTACCACGTCCTGCGACCACAACTGCCTCCAGAAAATCCGGCCACAAGGCGGGCGCAGCCCATCCTGCAGGGGAGCAGCGCCCACACCAAACAGAAAACAAAATCCCGGGCAAGTCGCAGCAACAGCCGCCCGCCCCAGGAAGCACGCGACGATGGTACACCCAGTCCAGCCACGCCACCCCCGAAGCCAAAATCGCCGCGTGTCAGTCCGAATCAGCCCCAAACCCGCCCCTTCTCTTACACCGCCCATCCCCCACCCCTGCCGAAATCATGCCGCCCAACTGGCCCGCTCATCCTCAACTGCCCCCGGCGTCCTCAGCAGCCGCCTGCTCGTCGCCCTCCAGCCCAGAGCTCCCCGATCCCCTCTCCCCCCGCTCCTCCTGCTGGCCCCTGCCCCCCCTGCGCTTCCCCTTCCCCGCCTTGCCGCCCTCCTTGCCGGCATCCGGCCCGCCCCTCTCCTCCAGCCCCAGCATCACGTCCCCATCGGGGAACACCATCAGCACGGTGGCGTCTGCGGGCTTGCTGGGCGCCGACGCGGTCATCGCCACCTCGCCCCCCCGCCTGGGAGGCTCCTCAGGGATGGAGCCCGTCAAGTAGGGCACCCCCAGGCCGCCGCGCGGATACGTTGCCTGCCGCCAGCGCGCTGAGCGCGGCTGCCACAGCCACGGCGCCCGAGGCCATGCTGTAGAGCAGCGTCTTGCGGAAGACGGTGGCGATGTAGAAACATACGAAGAAGCCCGCCAGGACGACGAAACAGACGACGACCCAGAAGCGGCAGGGGCACTGGCACTCCGCCCAGGTGCGGCTGTTGTTGGCGCTGGAGCACTGGTAGCAGCCGCACTTCCATCCGCAGCCGCTGCACGGCGCGCTGTCGTCCAGCGGGGAGCACGATACCGTGTCGAAGGGCAGCGCCATGCCGAGCCAGCCAGCGGGCCGAACCCAATCCTCAACAAACCCCAGCAAGAGAATGAGAATCGGAAAATGCGGCCCCGAGCAGGCCTGTCTCTCGCGACAGAAGCAGGCGAGGCGACCTCGCTAGACTTGGGCCGGCCCCGGGGAGGCTTGGTCGGATTGCGTCAGAAGGGACCACCCCGCGTCGGCACGCGAGCAGCCCAGACCGCACGTCGAGCCTCCCTTGGGAGCACAGCGCCGCTAAACCGGCCGCCACCGGCACCCTGGCTGGGACGGCGCAACGTAGACCGATGGGCTCATGGGCATCGGCCGGGCAATACACACCACGCGGGGGCTGTGGAGATTTCCGCGGAGCCAGGTGGCTTTGTGTGCGGGGCGGCAACATGCGAGTGGGCGGTGAGGCGAGAGGTCACTCCGCTGACGGGGAGGGCTGTCGGTTACCTAAACTACTGGCAACGAGGATGTCCCCAGTACTTTAACGTGAATGCCGTACTTCGGAGGGCCGTAGTTGGGTCGCCTCCTCCGCAGTTCCTGCTGCAAATCTGCCCGTGCGCACTCGCGCACGGGCAGTCGCGTGCTGCGGTCGGCAAACGGGCGCAGGCCGCGGGGTCCGAAAAGTGTTGCTGGGCGCTTGCGAATCGCCAATAGTTCCTGAAACGAATAGGCAAAACCCGCTCGTCGCACGCAAAACGCGCAATGCAACAACAAACCAAATGTTGCAAGGTGTTGCAAGACACGGCAACTGTTGGCACGGCTGGCAGTGCAAGCGGAACATCCCCGTAAAGTCAACAAAGAATCCTGACCAAGCACGTCGGAAGGACGACAAAGTGCAAAGGGACACAGCCTGGCCGACGGTGCCCCTCCAGGAGGACGCACAGGGGGGATCCAGGCCCGGCACCACAAAAATCCACGAAAAAGCGAGGAAAATGCAAAAACAAAAAGAAAACATGTCTTTGCAGCCCCTCACCCCGCGACCTGTCGAAGCGAGCAGGCCAGCTTCTCGCCCGTGTCCGTCGCCCACCCCCCCACCCGCCCCGGGCAGGCCCCACCGCTCCCCGTGTGCGTCGGCGGGGGCATGCGCCGCGCCCCATGTTCTCCCTCATAGCCGGCCTGATCGACTACCTCTTCCGCAAGGACGAGCTGCGCATCCTCATCCTGGGCGTGGACGGCGCGGGCAAGACCACCCTGCTGGAGCGCCTCAAGTCGCTGTACACGGCCGTGCCCGGCCTTGAGCCCGACAAGATCCGCCCTACAGTTGGCCTGAACGTTGCGCGCGTCGAAGAATTCGGCGCCAAGCTGATGTTCTGGGACCTGGGGGGGGCTGCCGGACTCCGCACAATCTGGGACAAGTACTTCAGCGAGTCCCACGCCGTGATTTACGTCGTGGATTGCAGCGCGAGGGAGAGGTTCGAAGAGGCCAAGATGGCGCTGGAGCGCGTGCTTGGGGCCCGTGAGCTCGACGGCGCGCCCGTGATGGTGATGGCGAACAAGCAGGACATGGAGGGGGGGGCGGGCGTGGGCGAGGTGGCCGAGAGCTTCGGGCTGGCGGGCGTGGGCGGCGGCGGGAGGGTGCGGGTGTGGCCGGCGTGCGCGCTGACGGGGGAGAACGTGGCGGAGTGCGTGGCGTGGCTGGTGGAGGCGGCCAGGAAGAGCACGAGGGCGGGGCGGCTGAGGAGCAGGTTATCGTAGTTGGGAGCCGGGGCGCCGGGGAGGCGGGGCCCCAATTGCTCTAATTGCTACTTGTTGCCGCTTGGCATGGCGATCCCGAGCACCAGGCTGGCGATGTTGGGCAAGACGTGGTTTGGGGGGTGTTCCGTTGCACCTCGATGGAAAATGGGCCCTGTGAAGGGCGCCCCCTCCTGAGCAAGTTTGTGTGAGGCTCTTTTCCATGGTGTGAAAAGATGACGTGGAGTTTCCAGGGCAGGGGGGGCCCGGGGGAGCTGGGCCCCTGGGGAACAGAACGTCGCGGTGGGGAGCCAAGGGGCAGGGGAGGCTTGCCTGGTGGTCAGAGGAATGTTGCGGGGACTGAAGCTGGGGACTGAGGCCCTTGGGGGCAGGACGTTCATGGTGGGGGGAGAGGGGTCTGAGCAGATCGCGTTGCTGTAAGCCACGTTCGCCGAATTTCCTTTGAAGTTGGCGTTGTCTGGCAGGTGTACAGGTAAGCTCGCTGCCATATGTTTGGCGTGTTGTGACAGCAGAGGAACAAAGATGCTGTTTCGGATTAGGGACATCTGTTGAGGGGATGGCCTGGGGCACCCCCGGGTTGTGCTGGTGAAATAGTCCTGTGAGTGCAACTTCAGAGCACGGCATTGGGTACTGTTCATCGGATTACTTGGAGGACCGACACAAGAACATGGCGCCCTGGAACTGGGGTGGCTGTTGCAGCAATGGGAGCCACTCTAAGGGACATGGTTTGGCATTGGACATGGCTTGGCATTGGACATGGCTTGGAATCGTCTCAGCTGCAGACTTTGGGGACTGATTATCGATTTGTTGCCACCACTTGTAGTTGGACCAGCCAAACCTTTGGTTGTTGGGAGAGGGTGGGAACTGCAGTCATAGGTTCCGATGTGTGGATGAGAAGCCATGGGCCACTCGTTAAGTTGCAACTGGAGGGGTAGCTGTGCAGAGGTCTGAGCGTGCGAAGTTCCAAAGCGTACAACCCTTGTGCACAGTGCACAAAGTGGAAGGTCCCTGTTGGAACACAGATGGCATTTGCATCAACGCTGCCACGTGCTCCTTGAGTGACACAGATCAGGTGGGAAATGGGGCTAGTGGGTAGAGGTGTGTGGGATGCTACAAAGGAATAGCTCTTAAGTGCACCAGGTCATGGAAACGTGGTTTGTAACATTTTGCTCATTGTGTTGCATTTTCAATAGGGTGCCAGATTCACCATCCATGTGCTAAGCACTGCCTTTGGGCAGCAGGTGCTGGGTAGTTTGTGTGGTGCTCTCAGGTGCAAAGGTAGTAGCGAGCAGCTTCTGGCTTCCTGTCTGCACCACATGCACTTTGCTGCCACTGCAAATGCCGTTTCGATGTGCATTGCAAATATGGCAAGGTGCCCAGCGCACCAAGAAGATGCAAATCCTGACTTTGCCTTATGCAGCTTTCGCTACACTGCATAATGTCACCCATGCTGACATTCACGGCAGCAAGATCGACCAACGTGACATACCTCCTAAAGTCAGAAATGGAATGTGGTGGACGGGCTTGTGTGCCAAACGAAGCTGCATTTAAACCCATTTTTGCAACAATATCCCAGGAACCAATGCACCCAATATGCTCGCCTCCAAACATGCCCCCTAACAAACGCGAGTTGAGAGGTACTTATCAAAGGCAACAGTTCTTGACGGCATTGCAGAGCATCCTCTGAATGTTGCAGACGCCCTTTCCTTGCACGTGTACGCACCCGATGTCATGACGTGTCATCTGTTCAACATGCTGTCCACGTGACGGACAGGTCCCCCCCCATATGGACAAGAGTGGACGGAAACAAGCCAACGGAAATTAAAACGCCAAGGACGGACGGCCTTCCACCGTCTGCAAAAGTAACCAAAACCCGGACTGAAAGAATGCAAGCCGATGTGTCGTAACGGACGGAAATGGAAGGCGACTTTACCAAATGACGGAAAGCGAGGTTTCTAAATGTTGGAGACAACAACGGGCCAGGTGCTGAGTAGACACTCTAAGCTCGCAGAGCAACGGCAGAGCAACGCGCAGCCGTCGAGCACACCCGCGGGTCAAGGAGACACCCAAGCGGCTCGGTGCCCAGCGGGTACAGGACAGAAACTCCGCAGCATTGATGTACGGAATCCACAATAGCTGTGCATACCATTTCATTGCCGGCTTGTGTTAACAAGCACCGTTCGGCAAGCTCGGACCGTTGGGGGGGAGTAGGGGTGGGTGGGGTTGACAGGCGCCCATTTCCAAACTCATGGAATACTCTTGGAGAAACTTCACCAGCAAGAGAATTTGCACCTGTTTCTGTTGAAAACATTTCAATATCAAATTCCGCAAGGCAGGCTCAAATGCGGTCCACCATAACCTTGGCCGACCCAAGCAGCGATCTGTTCCAAAGCCGACCGCCGTTCTCCGGCCCTCTGCACCTCGCTTCACATGCAACATCGCAAGAACCTGAAACACCAAAAAGGTCAGGATGACAGGACGCATCATGGACAATTGCCCCATGAGACATTCCCATGGTGGAAAGGAAGGGGGGGCCGGGCATGGGGATTCTCCATGGCGATCCCCTGGTTTGAAGACCTAGGCGTAATGTCCAGATGGTGGTGCTGACATGTCGCAATTCTCAACAAACACACCACATTTCGCGCCACTATTCGCAATACGCCCAGCCGTGGAAGTGGCCACAAACATTCGCATAGGGGGCAGTGGTCCATGCGCTCAGCGACAACATTCGTGTGATTCCAATGAGGGCGACGACGGACAAGCAGAGTTGCAGACAACTGTAGATTTCAATGAGGGCGCAGACGATGTTCCCCATTCCCTCTGCTGCCCGGCTGTGTCGTTGGAAGTTTCCAACTGGGGACCCCATCGCAGTCGCATCAGCAAGGTGTGGGGGAGACAGGGATGCTGGGAAACGAATTTCGGAAAGAGGAACGATGACCAGGCCACCAATCGACGTGACACTGCTACAATTCTGCCCAATGGCACTAGCATTCTGAAAGGAGGAACGGAATTGCATTATATGAACATTTGTTCATGGCGTAGAAAGATTGTGCATTGGATAACCTCAATCTACAATACTAGACAATACTAGATAATAGACAATACTAGATAACAATGCACGATGCTAGTATTGGAGAATACTCACACGCATAATACATCTTGTCAGTACAAAATCTTGTTAAGTTGAACCGAACCAGGGATTTCGTCACCCGTGCTGTACTGCGTACACGTCATGATACATGCAGTGCGTTGGTACAACGAAATGGTACTGAGCATAAACGTTTTCACACTTTTCATGCGGAGTACCGATTATCGAT